CAGAGCTGTATTGCATTTATCTCCGAGGCTTGATAGGTGCCTACCCAAACATTCTGCACGTGGCAGGTAAGGAACGGTGATCTATTCAACTGCTGACTGAAATAACCTGTATGGCTAGAGGAGAAACCTGGGTTTAATGCCTTAATAAATCAGTCTCTCGTTGAAAGATTTTACAGATTCTATCTTATTCTATTCCATCAACAGCAAGCCAATGTCATTTATCATTTGGATGGCTTCAGGTGAGGAGAGTTTCAAAAGAGCTAAGGACTTGCTCAAGGTCACAGTCTCAATGGACCAGGCAGTTTCTTTACCTAAATGACAAAAATAGGACAATGCATTTGCTTCCCTGAGCAGAAAAGTGTACCCCTGAGAAAGTCCAATCAGTGACTGTGATTGGTGGTTGTTGCAGATCTAAAGGTTGCAGAAACATTTCCTGTCGCACACATCCAAGGTCAGGCTATTGTTGCCATTCAGCATTCAGGGAATAGGTTTCAACAATGCAGTCAGGAGCTAGGTGATACTGCTTAGAGGGAGATTGCTTAATAGTCTTGCAAGTATAAACATCCTAATTTGATTCTCAGAACTTGTGTAAAGGGGGGGCATGTAATCCCAGAATTCACACATGTGCGCGCGCGCGTGCACACACACACACATGCACACGCACGCATGCACGCACACACCACCTTCTTTTCTTTCTTCCTATCTTCCTTCCTTCCTTTCTCTCTCTCTCTCTCTCTCTCTCTCTCTCTCTCTCTCTTTCTTTCTTTCTAGAAAATGATGCCACTTGGTAGAATTTCAAAGAGAAATCTGAGCCCCGTAGGTCATATTCCAAAAGGAGCCAGAGCCTGGCAACCCTAACAGGTTCTGGGATGCTCTGGAATGGGCAGGTGGTGAAGTTCCTGAGCAGGACAATTAGAAGTGCCAACAGCTTGGAAGGAAAAAAGCTCAAAGGAGAAGAAGTCACTCTGAGACCGTGTGAACGTCCTCCCACGGGAGGCAGAGGCCTTGGAGCTTTCAGATTCTCTGTCATTCTCTGTCATTTTCCTCCCACCTGCAGCTCCAAACCTCACAGCAGCCTTTGCCCTTCTTCCTGTGTTCCTGCCTCTTGGCATCCACTCAGTCTCCAAAGACCCAAGAATGTGCCCCGTACTTCCCAGCATATTCATGCTTTACGGGACCAGTTCTTCAGCCGTATCTGTGCCTATGTCAATATCATGGTAACTCATAATGTAGTTCAGCCTGTCGGTTCCCTTTCGAAAAGTCACCACACTCTAAAAACTTTTACCCAAACTGAGTCCTCCACAGCTGTACTTGACAATGAGACTCCAAGTTAGAAAACTGGGCAATTTAGTAATAGACCAACCACAGACAGTTGGATAATGCTCTCTCTTATAAAGTGCAAGACCAGCATCCCAAGTCTGTCTCCTGACTCCAAGGCCCAGTGACTGCCAGCTGCCCTCCTTAGAATAGTGTGTCAGCCTCTTATAACCTCAGCTGCTGCTGGAGAAGTCACTGGCCAGGGAGCCTCAGTCCCCATCCACTCCTACCTGCACACACACACACACACACACACACACACACACACACACACACACACACACTTCTTGTGCACTCTCTACAGCCTGCAAGAGAAGCCTCCAAGAGAGGATTATTTGTAAATGGTACACACACACACACACACACACACTCCAATGATGGCTCACACACAAAAAAATCTGTGCTGTGTTTGCTGACCAGGCAGAGGAAAGGTGGTCACCAAGATAACTCAATGTCCAATCCACATGATGGAGACACCAAGCTGTGCAGCATGTGACTGTGACTTAAAAAGAGGCATGGCCTAGGGGCACTCCACTCTTCTTGGTCCTTTGAGGGTGGCCTGGGAAATGGGCCTGACTACTTAGTGTCCCACAGCCAGAATGCTTTGGTGTCCTCTCTGGCCCCAGGGCTCACCTACAGTACACCCTTGCAGACCTCAGCCAAGATCGAGTGCACCGATTCTAATGGCGGAGCTTCGAGAGGAAATGTAGCCATTGCTCAGCCCACCAGACCCAATGGCAGCCTGAAGACCTCCCACTTCCTAAAACAGTCCTTTCGCCCACTCATTTCAGACAAGCCACGAAGAGCCTCTGCTGATATTGGCATTCTTTCTCTTCCTGAGGTGCCCCTTCCCCACCCCATCCCCATTGCCCTGCCTGCTCATGAAGTTCAATTTGGAATTCTGCTGGCCCCTCATCACCTGGTGCTAATCACAGGAGGCTTTGGTAAATTCATTAGGGAGAGATACTTTCTCCACCAGCCAAAAGCTCATTGCGTTCCAATTCCATGGTTACAGGAATCCTTCCAAAACTACGCTACATCTAAAGACTCCCTGAAATGTAAATAAAATGAAACAGCAGAAACAGAAAACAATTAATCCTTGGGCCTGGGGTCTTTGAAGATCCAAAAAGTGCAGCTGGCCAAGCTCTTCCTGATAAGACAAAGAAGGGGAAAGACCACAGGCCCACGCCTCTGCCTGCTCCCAACAGGGCAGGGTGGCGGGCAACTTAGACTCTGTGCCCCATAAACAACTTAGCAGTGCTCTATCCTGGTGATGAAGCTGCTTTTAAACAGACCCCCAACATCTCTGAGCACAAACAGCACAAAAGCCCTGGAGACAGACAGAGCTCTGTGCAAACACAGCCATTTGTAGTCATGAGGTATGGCAAAATGTACTAATGACCAAAATGCTACCCAGCATCCACAGCCACACCCACATGCTTACATGCCTCCCACAGCCGCTGTCACTGAAAAGGGAGGTGCTCAGAAGACAGGACTGAAACTAGATGTCTCATGTAGCGCAAAATATTCGCTTTCTGCTCCTTTCTGGGAAAAGTCTGCCAATCCCTGCTCAACGTGATTCTTTTCAATACAAGAAGGCTTTTGATATACCTCATCTGCCCACAACAACCAAGGGCTATCTTCTGGATGACCCTCCCTACCCACGCCTTGCAGCTGAGACCCTCCTGGCAAATGCCCACACCGCTGCACACTTCAGAGAGCTTCTACCATGGTCAAAGGACCACCCCAACTTTATCATCTGCCTGGGCAGACAACCCAACCAAAGGTGGGGTGCAGGGCAATCTCAGGCAGTTTAAGGTCAAAGACTTCCGTTGTGTTCCAGGACGACCTTGACACTATGAGACCAGCTGCTTGCCTCCTGCTTTCAGCCTCTGCCTACGTGTAACTCGTAACTCGGGGAGAATGTCCAATGTGCAGCTTGCACGAACAGGATGAATAAGGCAGACTAAACAACAGCAGCGTCTCCTCAAACTGGAATTGAAAATCGAAAGACTTAGGAGTCCACCCGCAACTGGCTAGGGGTGAACTCAAGAAGTCTTGGCTGGGTTCCTTTCTCTAAAGCACAGCGCCCTCACATGGTGCCGGAGGGCAATGCAGCCTTCCCGAAGAGCTGGCTCAGGGGCCATCTGTGAGGAGACTGAGCACTCACCCTGTGAGGACTTTAAATCAATGTTCTCCAGATTTCCAGCCTGGGCTCTTTCACAGATAGCTCCTCGCTTGGAAACTTTACACCAAGAAGTATAAACTCTGACCTCTCCAGAAACTCACGAAACCGCAGCAAATGGGATTCAGATGTTTCCATGTACAGTACCGGGATGTGACCTAGCCTTGAAACACTTTGGCAAAAACAGGAAAAATGATGTGGGCCTTTGAGTCCCTCCCAGAACACGATACAGCCCTGACCCGAGTCCTACGGTGATCTGAGCCGTTCTCACGCCCACTTACGCCTCCTTGCCCACAGCCCACACTCTGCCCCGTTCCGCGGTAACACCTACCAGGCCCCACCGCAATCTGTGCCTTTTCCTTCTTTTTAACCAAGGCTGCCAATTTCTCCCAGTTAAGCAAAAGTAAAGCATACCCTAAAGTGAGACCTCAGAAAATTCCTGAAAATTAGGCTGCTCCCAGGACATTACATCCACAGGTTCCCCCAGCCCCAACCCAGTGCTGAGAGAGCAGAATCGTCACATAGATTAGTCTTGGGGGGCCACCAACTTTCCGGCTTTGCTGCTGGTGGTGGAAGTGGAGGCCGGAGACTCGTGGGTGGTGATACAAGGTGAGTGGAAGGAACAACTTCTTTGGCCCGGGGGGGCGCCAAAAACACAGTATCAGAAACCCCTGTCTCAGAGGTCTACTGCGACAAAGCACAGAGAAACAGCGAGTACATCTCACGCTCTGAGTGGTGTCAGGCTCTTCTGAGGCAACCCATCTGCCAGCCACGTGCTTTCCTTGGGGGCACCACGTAGAAGCAGAGAAGAATTTGGCTTGACACCAATGTGGCCAAGTGTGAGCACAGACAGGGCAAAAACGCCCCCCCATTCCCTTTGCCTCTCAGTGTACTTGTCACGGGTGTCTCAAGCACAGCAAGGCTTGGAGAAGATGAAGCTCGAGAACAGGGCTGGGTCAGGTGAGCGCCCACAGTTCTCACCGAGGGGGATCCATACAAATGCCTGCCTGCCATGGGGTAGGGAAATAAGGCCACGCTCTCTTGGTCTCACCTTCCAGCTCACAAAAGTGAGGAAAACCATGGCCTGCCTGGGGTGCCCTCCTAGCGTAAAAAGAAGACTCAAAAGATAGAAGAGAGTACTACCTCATCCTCAGACAGAAGAAATCAACACTAAAGTGTTTTCCCGTAACATGTGCATAACACATACACACCCGTGCAGATGCTGGGCGAGTGGGATCGGACAGTTTCCTATGCATTCCCCTAGGTGAGTTTTAGCCAATTTCTCAATGCAACCCCACCTCGGCCAGGTTCAGCACACAACAGAAGCCCGGACAATGACAGGCCTCCCCCGGTGTCCCCTTTGCTCATATGGCACAGACTGGGAGGCCAAATGATGGAAACAGGGAGGAAGGTCTTCTCCCGCCCAGCCCTCCGCGGGACCACCCCAGGCGACGCAACAGACTGGGTTGAGTAGACCCATAGGGGGCGCGGGCAGTACCAGGCCGCCGGAGGCGCCGCAGGCGCTGAGGGAGACCAGGGAGCCCGGGTGGCCCAGGACTCGTCCTGAGTAGAAGCACAGCTCTGCTGGGTGTTCGCGGCTCCCCGCAGCATCCGCCTCCTCCACCTCGAAGCCCGGAGACAGGAAGCGCAGGTCGCGGCGCAGCTGCAGGTACAGGTCGCGCCCGAAGGCCGGCAGGTGCAGAAGCAGGGCGCGCTCTCTGGTCCCCGCCAGAGGGTCACCCGGAGATGCTCGCGGTCGTCGCCACCGCCGTAGCCCCGCTACTCCCGGCAGCAGCTGCAGGTGCACGTCGTCGGGGCGCAGTCGCCTCGGGAGCACCACCTCCACGTCGGCCGCCGCGTCGCCGACTGCTGCGGGGAGAGGGAACTTGCGTCAGCACCCGCCTGGCCACCACACCTCCCGCTGGTGGCGGCTCCGGTGCTGGCTCTCGGGGTTCCATGGGCATCGCGCAGCCGTGACCCCGCACTCCCTTCCCTCCCCTAGCCGGGCCTCTGCAAGCCGGCGAGGCCACACGATCGCCCCAGGGGACGGCTCGCCAGCAGCTTGTGGAAGGGAACCGGAGCCCAGTTCCCCGGCCGAGGGCTTCGCCCTCCTCCTCCGGTAATGCTGTCTGCAGTCCACCCAAGCAACCGCGCGCCAGGATGCTTAGGGAGGGCACGGGGAAGGTGGCCGCGAGAGCAAGCGACACTACCTGTGCCCGGGTCCAGTCCCCACACCAGCAGCAGCAAGGACAGGACGAAAGGGGGCAGCAGGGCGCCTTCGCACATGGTACTCGGGACCAGCAGCCCCCAAGACTGTAGTGGCAGAACAGGGGCGCGCGAGGCGGCGACGCCAGCCGAAGTGAAGCCCTGCAGTCTTTGGAAAGTAATTAGCGCTGCGGACAAACCCAACATGGTAAATACCAAGCCCCACCTTCTCCTTGGAAAGTAGGAAGTGATTGGGCTTTTGCTTTCCTCTGCCCCTCCTTCCCTGTCCTTATTGGTTAGAGCCGGTCGAAACCAACGTGCGTAGTTAGGTTGTAAGCACTTTCTTACACGTGGTTTCTAGGCAGTAGGTGGGATCTGACACCAGGTGGCAGGCTCGAGCCGACTCCCGGGTGCCGAATTCTGGAGCAGCAGGGAGGACCTCAACCTAGTCTTCAGTTTATCTTCAACTGGGAGATCACCTCTGAGGCTACAATCCACCAAGAAGGAAGGAAGGAAGGAGGGAGGCAGGGAGGGAGGGAGGACGGACAGAGGGAGTGAGTCAAATTCTTTATGTATTTAAGTGAGTCCAACTTTAGATTTGTTTGGGCTGGAATGACCCAGTTTCTGGCACACCTGAATTCGAACCCCAGGACCATATCTTCAGTGTTTATTCACACCCTGCACCCTGCACCCTTCAGTGTTTATTCACACCCTTCTGTTTACAGAAGCCAGAAAGGTGAGATTACACTCCCCTGAAGACTGGGAAACTGAGGAAAAGAGAGCTTGCTTAAATTAGCAAGTTTCTGACTTGGCAAGAGCCATAACTTGAATTTGTGACCCTGACTTCAGTTCAGGTATCTCTGCTAACACCAAGAGCCCTCTGAGGGTGGCAGGAAGGTATATTAGCCAAACTTTGCATTGCATATCAGGACACTGGAGAGCTAGGTGACAAAGCCTGATCTTGAACCTCCATCTTTCAGGAACAGAATGAGTGTGCATTTCCCAGCAGAATCTAACTGGAAAATTCTCCTAACTGCTCCCTACAGGTAAGTCCACTGGCTTCTTTAAGAATGTCTTGGAGGTAACAACACAGCCTGAGCCCAAGGTTACCACTGGGGTGGCAGCTGCCCCTCCCTAGCTCACCCTTTTTTGTTTTTGTTTTGTTTTGTTTTCTCAAATCAAAAATGTGACAGACCCTTACAGAGCCCTTTGTTTGGGGTGTCAGGATCTAGACTTCATCCCAAGGTTATTCTATATTACCGGAAGGCATCAGAGGTGAGCTGACCACTGCGAGTTTCCCTAAGTGAGATGCCCTGGTAGGCTGTCTGTAACCCTCCACAAAAGCTTGTCACGGGAGAAGCCACAGTGGCTGTCACTCGCTGCTGGGCGCCTGTAGTTGATTCCAGCATGGCCAGGTTCTGTTGGTGGCTATGAGTAGGGCTTTGCCTCTCTCTGGGCTTTGAGCACTTGGGTACCAGAGCCATGGCTTCTATCGTTACAGGGAAAATAGAAAAAGAGACGCTTGGCCTATCTGTGCATGGCCACACAGCTGCTAGCTGTAGTGACAGTCCAGAAATGCTTTTCTCTTCATATATGTTCAGTTTCTCCTCTGCACATCAAGGAGCTAAGCTATGCTGCCTCTCTTTGGGGTGTGAACTACTGATACCTTGAACAATTCTTGGAAATAGAAACAAGGGTCTACAAGGTGCCTGGCATTATTGAATATATGAATTACAGGAGAACTGATCAAATCAGACGTTTCAAAGACTCCTGTAAGGCCCCAGATCTTAGCACAACTAACTCCATGGTGGAAGTACCATTCAGGCTGTAAAACTCAGCACGTAGACAACATCACCAGCCAAATTAAAACAAAGGTCTAATCTATCAGAGTCCATAGTTCTGGGAAAGTCTCTGAATGTACCAACCTTGCTTTTTGGCTTCTGTAATTCTGCTTCTGGATAACTGTTCATGTTAACTTGAAGTATGTCAATCCAGGAAACGTGTGTGTGTGTGTGTGTGTGTGTGTGTGTGTGTGTGTGTGTGTGTGTGTGTGTGTGTGTTTAAAAGCTTACACAGAGAAAGGCTCGGGGATACACTGGCATCTCGGACACCCAGTACCCAGTGTAGTCGCCGGCAGGCTCATAAGGACTTTCTATTGGTTCAAACGCAAGTCTGAGCTGTCTTCTCTGGTGGATAACTCACAGCACTCCGGCTGTCAAATGTGCTAAGCAAGCACCAATCCCCTCCGCTTCATTGTTTGTCATTCTTTCTTGTCCAGACCAGTTTCAGTCTGGCAGGTTCCTGTGGGGTGGATTAAAAACAGCAACAATAATTAGGGGCCAGATGTGAAAAACTTACTAGTGAGAAAGAGAAGGGACACGGAAGGCCTGCATTATTAAATAACCCTGTCTTGCTAGTGTGTGTGTGTGTGTGTGTGTGTGCGCGCGTGCCCAGCACCCCAGACATTGCTGATACACAGAGAATATGAATAAACAGTCGCCAGGCGCTCAGCAGTTAGGTAGTGTGTCTCCTATCTTACGTATGTCACTCAAAGTGGTCTTCCAAATCAAGGATGCGCCGGATGGTGGTGGCGCACGCCTTTAATCCCAGCACTCAGGAGGCAGAGGCAGGCGGATCTCTGTGAGTTCGAGGCCAGGCTGGACTGACAGCCTCCAAAACAATACAGAGAAACCCTGTCTCGTAAAAAACCAAAAAAAAAAATCAAGGATGCTTTAAAAAACAAAACTGAGCAGAGACACCATAATCAGATCTCTGTAACTGGGTTGTACTTGTCAGATATACTTAGTGGCTAATATCGGAGCTCCACTGAGCCAAGTGAGCACAGAAAGCTGTTGATTTCATGTTATTTGCTTCATGTTCTAAAACCAACCACAACAGCTGTCCATAGTGTTGTCAGTGAAGAAACGGAGAAACTGGAATCTATCCATTCATGGTGGCAAAGTAACACACTGCTGTTTCTTTCGAAGAGTCTGTGTCTAAAAATACATTTAAATACGCAGCCCAGGCAGGTAAAAGGCAGCCACAGGACCACCTGCGTTCTCACGGGCTTGGGCTGATGGAAGACATCCACAGGCCTGCCCAGAGCCACAAGGTGCCAGGCACGTAGACACCACTGGGATGAGCAAATGTGTGGTGGAGAAAGAGAAGCAGACAGGGCCACGTGCTGTGGAGAGAGGCAGAACTAAAGCAGCACAGCAGAGAGGGGCAGGTCTAGACCACCACCTGAGGCCATGTTAGTATCCAAAGGGCTGCATTGCCACCAGGGATATGCCAAGCTGTGTGACCTGCCCTGTGCTGCCACCCTGGGCCATGAAGATGTCTGGGCCTGAGCTGCTGCCCAAGGGTCATGTCTAGGTCCATGGGCACTGCAGCAGAAGAAGCTTGTCCAACCCCTCATGGGAGAGCTGGGCCCTTATTCAGGAGAGATGGTCCTACCCCTCACCACAATCTTGGGAGAGCCAGCCCAATGGCATGTGTGTTGAAGAGATGGCTCTGCCCCATTCCTGAGGGGAGTAGCCCCAGCAGCCAGGACTGACCAAATCAGCTACTACCCAGATCCACATCCAGGACTTTGAGTTGGCACACCTCAGCATCTACCCCATCTATGACGTGCTAGAATGTGTGAAGGGACTAGCCCTGCAGAACCATGACTTGGGGCAATGGGCTATCTGGAGGAGTTTTGGTGAGGGTCCAGTGTTGATGGTTGGTGTACCAGAAGCCTTAGGCCTTGAACCAGACCAACAACTCATTGCAATGGACATTTGCAAGTAAAGCAGAATGGACATAAGAGTATACTGTGTGACACACCACAGCTCCCACCAATGCCACTAAGAAGAATGAAAAGGTGTTGGAGAGGTGGGAAAGATGGAGGAGCAGATTTTTTGCTTGCTTGATTTGTTTTCCATTAATAGTTTCTTAATTTTCTTTTGGAGGGATGCTATGGGGCCCAGAGGTGGATATGGAGGGACTGGGAAATGAGTGGGATTGGGATGTATGATGTAAAAAGTTCAAATTAATCAATAAAATTACATTAAAAATAAATATGAAGTTCTCATGTGGTTCAGTGTGTATAGGTAGAGATTACCAGAGGCTGGAGAGAGGGAAGTTTTACTTAATAGACATAGAGTGCCAGTGTAGGATGAGGGTAAAGTTTGGAAATGATGGTGCTGGTTGTGCAACACAGCTAATGCATTTGAAGCTACTTAATGATATACTTAAGATGCTAAGATGGTGACTTCTTTGTCACAAAGATTTTATCACAATAAAACACACACAGAAATACAACCCAATTCTTTAAAATGATCAAGATTTTAATAGACATATTACCAGAGAAGACAAACAAATGGAAAATAAGATTTGTAAAGATAGTCAAAGTTGTTTGCTTTGGATCATATGCAAATTCAAAATCACAATGAAATGACTATTATATACCTACTAAAAAGGGTTAGAAACTAACAACACATCAACCAAGTATTGGTATGGAGTTGGTGGAATCTGAATTTACTTGCCCAACTGGTTACACTATGAAATAGTACAACCACTTTAGAAACATTTTGACTATTTTTTATTGCCTATTTATTATTTTTAAGACTGGGTCTCATGAAGACCAGGCTGGCCTCAATACTGAGATGGCTTTGTGGTTGTAGATGACCTTGAACTTCTGATCCCTCTACCTTTACTTCCTGCGTGCTGGGTTTACAGGAATACTCATGTTTTTGACGTGTGCTATATAAATCCCAAGACTTCTGGGCTGGTAGGCAAGCAAACTACCAAGGAAACTATAGACACAACCCTTATAAGTTTCTTGAAAAGTTAAGTGCATCCCTTCACAGTCATTTCACACTTACAGATGAATTCATATATCCACACAAAGAATTGTGTGTGAATGATGACATGCCAATTTATTGTAGTAATCCCTAACTGGAAACAATCCAAGCATCCATCAACAAGGTGAAGGGATGAATAAAGTGTAGGAAGACCATACCCAGCGGTCACTATGGTTTGTTACAAAGAGGAATGACTGTTGGTACCTGCCACAATATAAATGAATCTCAAAGTTGATCAAGTGGAGAAAGCCACACTAACTTGTACACGGAGTGTATGATTTTATTTCTAGAAAATTCTAGAAAATACAAACTAG